ACATGATGTACTTGTGTGTGTGAAGTTTGAACTGATCATCCAGACATGTCTCGATACGGATCCAGAACTGAATTCTTTAAAACAAAATGGCCGCCAGTCGGCTATTTCGAACTTGATCCGGAAAAAAAAATGACGTGCATCAAGGTCCTATTATGTTTAATGTATGTACCAAATTTGAATGAAATCCGTCCATGCATAACTGAGATCCGGGTCCGGAATGGTGAAAATGTGCGATTTCAATGCATTTTCGGCCTTAAAGTGGCCGCCATTTGGCTATCGTTAATGAGATCATGAAACAAATGCACATACATATTTGTGATATGATGTACCTTGTGTGTGTGAAGTTTGAACTTGATCAATCCAAGCATGTCTCAGATACGGATCCAGAACTGAATTCTTTAAAACAAAATGGCCGCCAGTCGGCCATTTCGAACCCGATCCAAAAAAAAAAAATGACGTGCATCAAGGTCCTATTATGTTTAATGTATGTACCAAATTTGAACAAAATCCGTCCATGCATAACTGAGATCCGGGTCCGGAATGGTGAAAATGTGCCATTTTGATGCATTTTCGGCCTTAAAATGGCCGCTATTCGGCTATCGTTAATCGGATCATGAAAAAAATGCATGTGCATATGTCCCATATAATGTGTGATGTATGAGTGAAGTTTGAACTTAATCGGTCCATGCATGTTCGAGATACAGGTGATCACGGACGCACGGACGGACGGACGGACGCACACAGGGCAAAACATAAGTCCCCGTTTTCGGACTGCGTCCGAACAGGGACTAAATATTAGTTTCTCTATCTCAGTAGTCTCGCACTTTTTACCAATAGTGAATGTATTTTGCAAAATGTTTATTGGTGAACAACAGAAGCTTCCCTTTCATTTCAGTTTGCTTTATTAGTGATGTAATGTCAACCATAAAGCCAACATGTCACACTTTTGTCAAATTATTTTGGACTGATATTTTGACTGTTTCATGGTAACAAAATTGAAATAAAGCAATTGAACTAAACAGAAATATTTTTTTTTGGAGCTTTTAAGACGATGTTCCTAAAACAGCGGTAATCATTTCCAATCACTGTAAATAATAGAATCCATCATTACCAATCTACTGTTCTGATAATTTGTGCCATCCATAACTGAAGGGTATGAGTTGATATTTATTTTGATATAAAACATTTTTGACAGATTTTACTGTATTCTAAATAATGAAGGACCACACAACCAAACGAAGTCATCATTTGGAATGACATTGCCTTTAACCATTTATGTCATTTTGATATTACACAAGCGGTTTGTTGCTAGATTTATTGATAGTTTTATTAATCTAACAAGACATGACATGTCATGTCATAGCCCCCGCTCAGAAAAAAATTTTAAAACTTATATTGAACTTAGTTTGTGTCAGAGTGATTTAATTCATTATGAGCTGTATTAAAATTCTGTTATTAAATGTTCAGAATTGATGTGTTACAATTTTAGGGGGTGGGGTAAAAATTTATTCATTTGGCTTTTCTGAGACAATTTATAACTTGTTAAACATATAATGCGATGTGCACTTGTAAACAATTATTACCTGTCCCTGTACCAACTTTGAACAAAACTGGATGACATATCTGAGAAAAAGCTGTTAACAGCTAGAAAAAGCTTGTTTTTTTTTAGATTTTTGAGGGAAATAAATGGCCTCCAAGTCGTAAAACTTTATCCAATCAAACAGGTC